GATCTTTGATATTTATCTAACATCACTGAACAAGGAGGGGGGTGGTTTGGGGCTATGCCCAACATCCCATTTAAAAGACTGCATCTCTGAAAATTTATACTGCACTAAGTTTCCAGTCTTGATATTAGCTCAAATGACAGGAGCGAAGGATCTGAAGTACCAACAACTGCACCAAGCTGAAAAGGCAATGTATTACTAAATAAAACTAGGTAAAGAATAGCAGCACATTGTTCCCTTGGTGCCTCAAAAGGCTGTGCAATTAATTGGTTGAATTTTTGTTTGAGGTGGGAATAAAGTTGAAAATGACATCAAATTTTTTCTTCAGAATAATTTCAAATCTGAAGTGCCTCCCAGATCCTGAACTATTTTTCCCTGGCTTTTTCACAGGTTGGGAAGGCCTTGGATCATGACCTCACATGTATCCGTTCAGAGGTTGTGAGCCCTGTACAAAATGTGAAATTCATTACCTCTATCCCATGTATGTTTTGAGAGTGCTGGCCTGGGTTTCAGAAGACTCAATAAAAGTATTTGCCTAAATAGAAAGTGCATGACCAAAGGGGAAATCTGCTGAGGAGACTGAAAAGCAGGAGACTGAAAGGCCAGAGAGGCCACAGGGACAGCAACACCAAAATGGCCATAATGTAGGAGCAGAAGTGTGTGCTCACTGAGTAAGGGTGCATGGTCAGTGTGAGGGAGCCTGAGTAATACAGAAAGAGGCCAAGTGTGAATTTGATGAAGTGGGAATTAGGTGCAGATAGGAAAACAGGAAAGTAAGATTTAAGTAAGACTTTAAATTGCTGCAAATATGAAAAAAAATTATTTTTAAAGAGTTAGCCATATTTGGATCTTACTGAAAACACCAAGAATAAAAGAAAATCAGGCCAACATAATAAGGTAATACAAATATTCAAAAACAGGATGAAGTTAACCTAAGGGAAATAAAGTTAAGAGGGGAGCACAACTCAGTCAATTAGAATGCATAGCCTGTAAAATGTGGGAAGTAATGAACTCTACCAATGTCCTAAGAGGACTTTAATTACCCAAACATAGACTGGTATGCTGTATTTTAAAGTAACTAAATTGTATGGAGCAGTGAGGGGCAAAAAGTTCCTGGACTGTGTTCAGGAGAATTTCTAACAGGAGTAGGCTTGCAGTCCAACAAGAAAGGGTTCACTGTTGGATGTGGTTCTTGGAAATGAGTTGGGCCAAGTAGATCATAAGTGTCCGTGAGGGAACATTTAGGAGACAGCAAATGTTGTATCGCAATGCTTAGTATGAGTGTGGAGAGTGGTGATGGTCAATCCAGAGTAAGAAAAATAAATTGGCAGACCAATCACTTTGTTAGGACAGGGATGGAAGTGTGCATCATAGACTGCAAAAGGTGGTTGGTGGGAAATACAGTATCTGGGTGATGGCTTCAAAGGGGAGATGATTCGGGCACAGTTAAGGTATATTTCCTCAAAAGGTAAAGGTAGGGCAAACACATCCACAGCTCCTTGGATGATAAAGGCAATAGAAATTAAGATGAGAAAAGTGTGCTTATGGCAGATGTCAGGGAGAAAATACAATTGAAAACCAAGAGCAATACAAAAGATGCAGAAGGGAAAAGCCTATTAGAGAAGCAAAGAGAAATTAGAAGGAAAGACTGTCAGCCAACATAAAGAGGAATCCCAAAGACTTTTATAATTGCATCAATAATAAAGAAGTGTAAAAAGAGAATTAGGGTTAATTTGGGACCAAAAAGGGGATTTGACTCAGGGGACAAAGGGTATGGCTGAGGTATTAAATGGACACTTCTCATCTATCTTTATCAAGGGATAGATTCTACCCAGGCCATGGTGACACAGAATAAAATTCTGTTACAGAAGAGTTCAAAATTGCTAAGGACAAAGTGTTTGATACACTGTTGGTAATTAATGTTGATATGGCACCAGGATTGGATGAAATGCATCCATGAGTATATTTAAGACAGAGATAGATAGACTCTTGATTGTCAAGGGGATCAAGGGTTATGGGGAGAAAGCGGGAGAATGGGATTGAGAAACTTATCAGCCATGATTGATTGGCAGGGCAGACTTGATGGGCTGAATGGCCTAATTTCTGCTCCTATGTCTTATGGTCTAGTGGGATGTGGGCATCCTTGGTGGGGCCAACAATAATTATCCATCCCCAGTTGTCCTTGAGAAGGCAGTGGTGAACAGCCTTCTTGAATCACTGCAGTCTATGTGCTGTGGTAGACCCACAACGCCATCAGGGAGGGAATTCTGGGATTTTCACTCAGCAACAGTGAAAGTACGGCAATATATTCCCAATCAGGATAGTGAGTGGTGTGGAGGGGAACTTGCAAGTGGTGGTGTTCTCGTGTATTAATTGCGCTTGGAAGTGGTCATGGATTTGAGGATGCTGGCTAAGAAGCCTTGGTGAACTTTTGCAGTGCATCTTGTAGATAGTACACACTGATGCTACTGAGTGTTGGTGGTGAATGAAATGGCTATTTATGGATGTGGTGCCAATCAAATGAGTTGCTTTGTCCTGGATGTTGTCAAGCTTCTTGAGTGTCGTTGGAGCTGCAGTACTCCAAGCCAGTGGGGAGTGTTCCATCACATTCCTAACTTGTGCCTTCTATAATGTGGACAGGGTTTGGGAAGTCAGGAGGTGAGTTACTTACTGCAAAAATGGAAGTGAAGGAAATTGTAGGGCCCTGTCCATCACATTTAATTTTTGCTAAAGTCAGAAGAGGTGCCAGAGAATTGAAAACATTGTAGACTTGTTCAAAAAAGATTGCAAGGATAAGCCCAGCTCAACAGGCCAGTTATTTAACATCAGACGCAGGGAAGCTTCTGGAAACATTTACTTTGGATAGAATTAACAATCACATGTGAAAAGGTGGATTGAATCAGAAGAGTTGGAATGGATTATTAAAGAAGAAATTATTTTTAATTAACTTGCTGGTGTTTTTTGAAAAGGTAGCAGTGAAAGTCACTGAGGGCAATGCTATTGCTTTGGCATTCATGGGCTACCTGAAGGTGTTTGATGCTGTGTCACACCTCAGACTTGAGAAAATTTCATAGCTCATGGAATGAAAGCAGAAGTAGCAGTAAAACTTGTAGAGAAGTTTGAGACAATGCATTTTGGTTGGAATAACATTGAAAGACAACACAAAATAAGGAATACAATTCTGAACAGGTTATTGATGCCTGGGTGTATATGTACACAGAGCACTGACACTGGCAGGACTGGTGAAGAGAGCAGCAAATAAAGTATACAATGCCCTGGGTCATTCAGGGCATTCACGACAAGAACAAGCAGATCATGCTGATCTGTGTAGGACACTTGGTAGACCTCAGCTGCAGCATTGTATACTGTTCTCGGCGCCACATTACAGGAAGAATGTGAATGCACTGGAGAACACAGAAGAGATTTACATGAATGATTCCGGAAACTTTAGTAATGAGGATAGATTGGATTGTTCTCCTTGGAGAAGGTGGCTAAGAGGAGATCTGATAGAAGATTTCCAAAGTATGAGGAAGCAGAGAAGATAGGGACAAGCTGTTCCCATGAGTAAAAGGATTATGAACAAGAGTCCACATATTTAAATTGTAGAATAAATAGTCTTTACCTGCCTTGAAGTGAGGACTATACAAGTGTAAATAATTAAAAAGCTTTCTTAAATCTATATAAGTTATTTGCAATATCACTGAAAAAATTTAAAAAGTATAAAATTCAAACAAAGCAAGGTATCCCCATAAAGCTTAAAGCTGTTACATTATAGATACTTGTTTTGTGATCAGTACTTGTTTATACTGATGGGTGCTAACAGACCTTGGTTACAGCTGTTCCAGCCCATCATCGCTCTCAGCCCATCCAAGTAACTTTATAAATACATATTATGGCAAATATCCAGTTGTGCAAGCAGGTCTCTGTCAACTGAATAATATTGCAAACTCTGTTTAAAAAGGTGAAGGAATACTAAGTGAATGTGACATCCATTCCTGGAGAAGATCTCATATCAGCCTTTTCAATACAATACAGACAGTTTCGCACCAGAGTCACAGAATGCATTTCTCACGATATTAAATCTAAAACTACTTGTCATTGCTGCAAAATGGATTATTGCAATTTATGAAGGAGAATTAACCTATAGTATACATTGTGACTAAACCTCTTTGTAAAGTACACAAACACAGCTTAAAATTTGTAGTTTCACATTTTCTCCACTGGGTCTTGTTACTATACAATCAGAAAACTGACATCTTCTAAAAGGAAATCAAGACAAAATATGCACATGGATGAATACATTCAGGAAAGGACCTGCAGGAAATGTCAATTATCTAACTATCAGTATTATTTTTTTGTTAAATTGACCTAGTTATACCCAGCAGTGCTGATTGAATTTCTTTTGCTTTCTGAATTTTGCAACCAACCATTCTCGAACCAAAAGTGCTTAATCTGGGAGTACCTTGCTAACACTACACAAAGCACATAGTTCCCTCATCAAGCTATGCTTTAGAGACTTTCTATAAAGGATCACTGTATTATGTTGTCTGTGGAACTCTGTTTATCATACCAGTATGTCAAGTCTTTGTCCTTAATGACACAAACTTAGCACAGACATTTTTTGTTATTCAGCAAAATTGAAACACTTCTTGAATAGACACGATATAAAAATATTTGTGAAATATTGTACAACAAATTCCATTGTTGTTTGAAATTTCATTGTTTATACCAGTGCTGAATACACTCTATCAACTGCATTATTAGCAAATGGTCAGTTATTTAAAAACGAGATTGATATCATTGTGCGGTTTCCTTTTGTGTCGGTTATTTCCTATCTTGCAAGCAACAAAAGATGTTTTCACAGTTTGAACCTTGCTTTTTCTAGCAACATGCAAATAGTGGTTGTTGAATGGGGTACAACGCTTCCTTTCTATTTCAAAACCAGTTTTCTAGGTTTTAGTAGAACTCCTTTATCAATTTTCAATCCTAATTTTGTATTGTACCTGACTGGTTTCCTGTGGGAACATCATCACAGGCAGGCTCCTCTGTCGGCTGTGTTTCCAGGCATTTAGATGCCTTTGCTGCGCCTCCAATTTGTCTCTTTCCTTTTCCACCATTCTCATGCCTTCCCTCAGTCTCTCCAGATTTTGCTGGTACTCTTTCCACTGGCTCTCTAACTCTTCCCGCTCTCGCCACATCTGCTCTGCCTGCTGCTGACATTCTTGCTCACGTTCCTGTAGTCTACTCTCTTGTGCTTCCTGCTCCCGCTGCCTGCGTTCACATTCTCGTTCCCAACGCTGCTGCTCATGGTACAGCTTGCTCTGAAGTTTGCGTACATTTGCCAGTTCTTCTCTTTGCTTCTCCATGTTGCGCTGCTTCTCTTGCTCGAGAAGCAAGTTCCCACGGGTGCCTTGGATATGAGCTGATCGCTCACGCTCCTGCAAGATCAGCCGCTGCACTTCTATGTAACTGTCCTGCATGGTCACTACAGCCTGAAAGAAAAGTGAAAGATAAGGTGCTGAGCAAGAATTGTATGTGAAACACTAATGAGCAGTCCTGTACAAATGTGGGCAGGTTTCCTGACAGCGGATCTTTGAATACAAACATTCAACATGTGTTTGATAATTTCCTTTTTGCACTTTGAGTCAGGCAATAACTCACCATTCGAACAAATGTGGAGGTAGTTAGTTTAAATGGGTTATGTTTTCAGAAAGGAATAGCACTTGCTGGAAATTATATCATGAAGTGTACAAACCAGTTGGGACAAGAGGGCCCTTGTGGCACAATGGTAGTGTTCCTACCTCTAGGCCAGCAGGCCCAGGTTCAGGTACTATCTTTTCCAGAGTTATGTATGACGATGCAGTGGCTTTACATGTTATTTTGTCCAGGACTTTTTTTTTGAAGAGAGAGGTTAATAGGCAGAGGTAATGAGCATGCTGGAGTAATGTAAACAGCTTGGGAGGCCTTGGGTTTTTTTTTAAATGCAGCCTAAATAGGTGTAGCCAGCTTGTATTGGTCCAGATTTCTCAGCTTTGGGTTTTTTCAGTAACGTCAGAAGCTTCTGGCATCTCAACACAGTTGGAAGATTCAGTGAATGTCTCCTGGCTGATACTCTCTCTGAATTTTCTCTTGATGTTTTTATCCTCTTGGATTGGAGAACTGCATGTGAGAATCGGTGTCTGAATTTTCGTTTTTTGCCAAGGGGTATGTTTATGGTATGTTACTATATTGGAATACTACAATTAGTAGTATTTACGGTACCTATTATTCTGTTAAGTTTTCCAATAGAGTTATGTTATTCTAAATTCCTCTGTCTTTGGTCGTATTTTAACTACAGTGTTTAAATAAATTGTGTTTTGCTTAATGTTAAGTAGCTTGACCAGTCACATTACATCTGGAATGGACACTTCACAGTTGCCTTTAAAAGAAGAAAAAGTTAGGGTTTAGGTTAACTTAAAATAATTTTAGGGGGTCCGGTCTGGTCCATAACATATTTAATGATGTCTCTGAACAGGTTGATTCAGAAGTTAAATATATATGATAATTTACCGATTCCAAGTTAAGATATTAAAAACCCAGCTGAGGCAAATGGACTCTTATGGCATGGTGGTACGTCTCTGCTTCTAGATCAGGAGACCCGGGTTTAAGCCCCACCTGCTCCAGGAGGTGTGTAATACCAAGCTAAACAGGGTGATTAGAAAACATCTCCAAACCATTAATGTAAAACCATTCATTAACGTAAAATAAAATACGTAAATGTAAAATGCATTATGAATTCCTATCCTTACACAATATATTTGCGCTTGGGATCTAGGCAGCAGTGTAGTAAAAGTCAAACGGAGGACAAACTGGAAAGGCTTGTCAGAACACCGGTGAACTGTGAGGTTCCACGCCAACTTGAAAGGTTTCATGGTGATTTGTTCTGGTGTGAGTCTATATAGTTGGGAGCTAATGAACCAGTTGTAAGGTGATTCATATCTCCATATCTCCACACCTTCCCCCACCTCCATCAAAAAAAGCCTTGCTCTCCTGTTGAGCAATTTTGGGTCCATTTTTGGGTTGGGTACCGAATGGACATACTATTCACGGCATGCGCACTCAACAAACAGTTGAGAGTCCTCTGGCAATTTTAGCTTCTGGCTTTATCAAAACATTTGCAGTGAGCTGCAGGCCTTAAACAAGCCCACCGTTGCAGCTTGCTGGTCAGAAGCAAAATTATCTAGCTACTACACACAGTTAGCAGGAAGGTCATGAGGCCTTTCTTGGAATAGTGGGAAAAGAGATTAAGCAGTAAATTTGTTTAGCTGCAAGGATGAGAATCCACCAGCAGAAAGTCCAGAGATGTCATTGGGGTTTTGAGGAAAGTTCCTACCCCTGGAACCTGTGGGAAATCTCTGCTGACTCCCAGGTTTCTTGCGTAAATGACTAACTCGACTCTAACCAATCTTAATCTTTCAAACGATTCGCTCTGCCCTTGTCAAATATACCAGTGACCAGATTTACTAGGTTCAGTTTCACAAAATGCCATAAAGTGAGCCTTGAGATCTGAAGCTCTGAAACTGTTGTTCCAGCATCAAACCACTAGGGTCCTATTTTTGGATTCAGGTGGCCCGAGGTAACTTGATCCAATTTAAGCAGATCCCACCTACTTTTAGCATCGAAATGCAATATTTAAGACTATTTGCTGTACAGCTGACAGACATTATTTACAATGCATTTTATTCTCTAGCTGCATATTTTTACTTGGAAGTCTTATTGTATTATGGGATGCCTTGACCTTTATGTATACAAGATAAATGGAGTAGCATACTGGGTTTGAACCAACGCAGTCTAGGCAGATGTAATATTTTTCATGTTATGAAAATTGCAAAAATTTCTATTTGAAATCATTTTAGCCTTATCACAGAGTAACGGTGAGACTTTCAAACCTAAGGGACAATTTCTATGATTGTCAACAACTTGGTAAACTTTCCCTGAAAGGCAATAAAATCAGGGACTGTGCAAAAAAGCAAGGTCAGACAAATCCAATATAAGGATTGGAGGATCAGAGGTTGGAACTGATAAGATGTGGTGAGGGTAATGTCTAAATTGAACTGAACTTGTATGAGGAGAGAATGCTTGATAAATATCAATGCACAAAAGCACAGCCAACGCTCAGCTAACCCAGCACACATGAACTAAAATATTTAACACTTGACAAAAGAATTGCTTCTGGATCTGGCAGCCAACCCAACAAATATCTCTGAGAAAAACATAAATACTCCTTTGGTTGCTGTGCTCATCTATAGCTGGGATTAAGATTTATTGTCAATGTGCTGGTAGCTGAGACCAGCATTGTACCATATCAGGGATGTATTCAACTGAGGAATTTATGATTGTAATTTGGTACAAAACAGAAAAAAGGCTAATGTTCTCCCATATGCACAATCATTGATATTGATTCGTAAATATCCTATCTAAACATAAATCAGCATCTTGCAAATTAGAAATTGTGTCATGGAACCACTGGTACCTTTTCAAAGTCCATATCTGCTAGGTCTGTAGGAACAGCTTCTTGCTGCAAAGGATGTAATCACATCGAAAAAAACAAAGCTGATTAAAGAAAAAAAATGAACTTACCTGTAAACTGTAAAGAAGCTGAGTGATATTTTGTACACTGTGAACAATCTGAAACAAAAAAAAAATTACTTAATAGAAGGCAAAAAATGATGCAAATCCTGGTTCATCTGTTAACACTCTCTAGTTAAAACTGACTGACTGTTAACATTAATTTTAATGTTATTCCCCCTTGTTTTGAATTCTCTTATCCGAGGAAATGGCTTATTTGTATGTATTACATTTCATCTTTCTATTATCTTAACCATCTTGAGTTGATTATCCTCAGGTTCTAATAAAGTTCTAGCAGACCTTTGTTTATTGTTAAACTGAAAACTATAGGAGTTAGAATCAAACAAATTGTAAGAAATATGCAATCTGTATAAAAATTCCTAATGTGCAATTATATATTTTCAAATCTAGGCTGACACTCTGTAAATCTGAGTAAGTGTTGAAGGGCTGATTTTTACCCATCCTTCATTTGTTAATTGGGAACAGTTAAGGTGACATTGGCCGCCTTCATTTGTCGACTGTCTTTTCTGAACTTGTTGCACTCCATACCTTCAGGTCTTATCAGAGTTGCTGATAAGGGTGATGTTGCTGTGACTGCTTACCTCTGCCCCACAGATGCTGTTTGCCAGCCTTCAGACACTTTATCCTATCTCCCCCTGGATCGTGACCTCACCATTGAACATCAAGCTGTTATTTCCAGACTCTAACTGACCTCTGGAGATCTCCCTTCCACAGTTTCCCACCTCATAGACCCCAAACCAGGCATAGCCCATTTCGACTTTCTTCTCAAAATCCACAAACAGGACTGTCCTGGCAGACCCAGTCGATTAGCCTGTTCTTACCCCACTGAACTTATTTCCTGCTATCTTGATTCTATTTTCTCCCCCCTTGTTCAGTCTCTCCCCATTTACACTTGTGATTGTTCTGATGCTTTATGTTGGTTCCATAACTTTCTGGTCCTACCTCTTGATCATGTACATGCAATCACTCTACACATCTGACCTCCATCAGGATGATCTGAAAGCTCTCTGCTTCTTCCTTGAAAAAGAGGCCTGCACAGTCTCCATCCACCACCATCCTCCTTTGTTTGGCTGAATTTGTTCTCACTTTGAACAACTTCTCTTTTAACTCATCGCATTTTCTCCAAGTCAAAGGTGTGGTTGTTGGTATCTCCATGAATTATACCTGGCTCTTTGTGGGATATGAGAAACATTCCTTATTCCAGTTCTACTCAGACACCCAACCACAATTCTTTCTTCGATACATTGATTATTTCTTCAGTTCTGCTTTCTGCTCTCATCTAGAATTGGAAAAATTAATCATAGAATCCCTACAGCATGGAAGTAGGCCATTCAGCCCATCGAGTCACATGGACCTTCTGAACAATATCTCACCCAATACCTGTAACCCTGAATTTTCCCATAGATAATCTACCTAGCCTGCACATCCCTGGATGCTATGAGCAATTTGGCATGGCAAATACACCTAACCTGCACATCTTTGGACTGTGCAAGGAAACTAGAGCTCCTGGAGGAAACCAACGCAGACACAGGGAAATGTGCAAACTCCACACAGACAGTTGCCTGGAAGCTGGAATCAAACCCGGGTCCCTAGTGCTGTTATGTAGCAGTGCTAACCACTGAGCCACCGTGCCACCCCGTTTTCAGTTTTGCTTTCAATTTCCATCCTTCTTTCACCTTCACCTGGGCCATCTCTGACTCTTCCTTTCCCAGCCTTGACCTCATTTTTCATTTCTGAGAACAGGCTACCCACCAATATCATTACAAGCCCATCAACTCCATTGAAAACAAAACAAGAGAACTGTGGATGCTATAAATCAGAAACAAAAACAGAAATTGCTGGAAAATCTCAGCAGGTCCAGCAGCATCTATGGAGGGAAACCAGAGTTAACATTTCGGGTCCAGTGACCTTCTGAAGAAACGTTAACTGTGATTTCTCTCCACAGGTGCTGTCAGAACTGCTGAGATTTTCCAGCAATTTCTATTTTTGTTCTATCAACTCCACAGTTATCTTGACTACACCACCTCACATCCTGCTTGCTGCAAGGCTTCCAAGTCCATTCTCCCAGTTTCTCCATTGCATCTCCCTTTGTCCTCACTTTCCATTCACTAGTCTCTGCACTCAAAGGATCATCCTCTGCCATTTCTACCACCACCAAACACACTTTTTCCTTCACTCCACTGTTAACATTCTGCAGGGACCGTTCTCTCTGCAATATCCTGGTCCACTACTTAATCACTCCTAACATTTCCTTACTGCCTATGGCACCTTTCCATACAATCACAGAAGGTGTAACACTTGCCCATTCACCTCCTTTCTCCTCACCTTCTAAGGCCCCAAACACACCTTCCAGGTGAAGCAGCAGTTTACTTGTGATTTTCTCAATCTAGCATCCTGTATTCGCCACTCACAATGCATTCTCCTTTACATTGGTAAGACCAAATGCAGACTGAGTGACAGCTTTGTGGAACACCTCTGCTCTGTTTGTAGAAATGGCTCTGATCTCCCAGTTTCTTGCTATTTCAAAAAATTATCTTTCAGGCTATAATGAAAACTGAAATTGCTGGTGAAACATGGTGGGCTGAAGTGTCTGTTCTGTTCTGTTCTAACACTTCATTTTCCACTAAGGCACTTTACAGCTTCAAGATCCCAAATTGAATTCAACAACTTCAGAGACTGACTGCATGGTTCGACCTCCATTTTTCTCACATTCTCCTCCACCTCCATAACTTGTCTTTTTTTGTGTTTTGTTTACTTTGAGTTTAGTAGTAGGACAAATTCTCTCTCTTTCACACCTGAATTTACACCCATTTTACATCTCCTTTTTTCTTTATCCACCATCCACAATCCTTTTGTCTTTTGCACTGGACCTCCTCCTCTGTCAAAAGCAGAGATCAAAATGATCCAATGCCTTTCAGTTCTGGAGCAGAGTCATACTGGACTTGATATGTTAACCAAGTTTCTCTCTTCACAGACGCTGCCAGATCTGCTGAGTTTCTCCAGCATTCTCGTTGCTTGTTTCAGATTTCCAGAATTTACAGTATTTTGCTTTCACCCTCTCGGAAGATGATTAGATGTGAAAACAATAAAATACTTCTTTTACTTTTGCTTTCTTTCTCTTTTAGTTCTTAATCTGTATGTTACAGTCTTTTACTTTACTTATCTTACATGATTTAGATCTAATTCATATTTCCGGTTTTATACTTCCTGGAATTGGCAATCTTATAGTGTAGTGGTAACATTCCTAACTCTGGGCTAGACACTCTGGATTCCAGTCCCACGCCAGGAACTTGTCATCCAATGGAAAATGCGTTTGAAATGTCACCAAACAGGCTGATGATTCCTTCCAATATGCCGAATGCTAGGTAGTAAGACACTAATAAAAGTTATTCTTTCTGTAATAAACATAAAGTGCTGGAAAAACTGAGAAGGGCTGGAGAGAGAAACAGAGAACGAAGAACAGTCCAGTACAGGAACAGGCCCTTCAACCAACTAAACCTGCTCCGACACATGATGTCTTTCTAAACTAAAAACGTTTTACCTCTACAGGGTCCATATCCCGCTATTCTCTGCTTATTCATGTATCTGTCAAGATATCTCTTGTACATTGCTGAGATACCAAGGGTTCAGAGAAGAAGGGTCGAGACCCGAAACATCAGCTTTCTTGTTCCTCTGATGCTGCTTGGCCTGCTGTGTTTATCCAGATCTACACCTTGGTATCTCAAATTCTCCAGTATCGGCAGTTCCTACTATCTCTTGTACATTGCTATTGTTCGTGCTTCTGCCACCTCCTCTGGCAGTGCATTCCAGGCACTTACCACCCTCTGTAAAAAATCTTGCCTCTCACATTTCCTTTAAACTTTCCTTTTACCTTAAACCTATGCACCATGGTAATTGACATTTCTACCCTGGGAAAAAGACTCTGACTATCTATTCTATCCATGCTTCTCATAATTTTCTAAACTTCTATCAGGTCACCCTCAGCCTTCAACTTTCAACTTTCAACTGAAAACAAACCAAGTTTGTACAATCTCTCCTTCACAGCTAATATTCTCCAAATCTCGCAACATCCTGGTATACATTTTCTGTACCTTCTCCAAAACCTCCAGATCCTTGTGGTACTGTGGCAATCTGTACTGTGTGCAATATTTGTACAGTGGCCTAACTAAAGTTCTATACTTCTACAACATGATTTGCCAAATTGTATACGCTATGCCCCAACTGATTAAGGCAAGCATGCCGTACGCCTTCTTGACCAGTTTATCCACATGTTGCCACTTTCAGGGAACTATAGATCTGTATGCCTAGATCTCTCTGTATGTCAATGCTTCTAAGGGTTCTGCCATTTATTATACACTTCCCTGCTGCATTATCCTCCAAAATGCATCACCTGGCATTTGTCTAAATTAAATTCCATCTGCCATTTATTCCACCCAAGTTTCCAGCCTATCTCTATCCTCATATCCTCCAGCAATTCTCCTCATTATCTGCAGCTTCGCTAATCTATGAGTTATCCACAAATTTACTAATGAGACCACCACACTCTCCTCCAAATCTTTTATATTTATGACAAACAACAGGGATCCCAGCACTGATCCCTGTGGAACACCAGTCAGAAAAACAACCTTCCACTGTTACTTGCTGTATTCTATGACCAAGCCAGTTTTGCATCTATCTTAACAGCTCACCATGGATCCCATGTGACTTCACCTTCTGTGACAGCCTACCATGAGGAACCTTGTCAAAGACGTTGTTAAAATCCATATAGACAACATCCTTGCCATTTCCTCAAAAACTTCAATCATGTTTATGAGACATGACCCCCACCCCACGCACAAAGCCACACTATTGCAAATAAGTCTATATTTTTCCAAATGTGGGTTAATCGTATGCCTAAGAATCTTCTCCAATAATTTCCGTACCACTGACATAAGGTTTACAAACCTGTAATTTCCCAGATTATCCTTGTTGCCCTTCTTACACAAAGGAACAACATTGGCTGTTCTCCTGTCCTCTGGGACCTCTCCCATGATTAAAGA